GGGACTGTTGGTGCAGCGCACAACACCACACAGCTGTGCTTCTTTGAGGTGTTTACGAACTGACCCAAAGAGTGACTTCAGCATAGGAAGTCACTCTTCCACTCTTCCAACAGGAACACATGAAAATCAGGAAGGAAATGATATAATCATTTTCCGAGAAAAAATCAATCACGTACAGGTATCAGATGTGACCAATTTAGAAAACAAGGTCTCTGTCTCACACTACTCAAGAGTTTACATGTAATTTCCCCTGAAGGGACCCTTGAAATTTGCACCTTTGTGTTTCAGTTATTTGTTTTCAATTATTCATATTTTTGCTTTCTACTGTAGTTTGTATCTTGGAGCCTTTTGGGGTTTTATGCCAATGCAAATTCATGAATATTCATGAGGAACACTATGACGTCATCCCTTGCACTGAACCTCATGCCACACTATTTGTGCACAAAAAAAGTGCTGGAATTAGAAATATTTTACCGTTGTAACTTTCCAATTCTTCAGCAATTCATTGTTGTAACAAAAGACAGAGGCAACAAGTCACGGAGTGACCTCTTCTCAAGAATGTTTTCAAAGAGCAAATGTGAGGGTTAACCATTCAAAATCTCCACACCCTCGCTTAAATCCCCCCCCCCAAAAAAAGCTTGAATGATCTCAATGCACTCGCATGTAACTCCAACAAGATTTTTGAACAGTTTTCACACTGCGATGTACCTTAGAGAAGAGCATAAAGATGCACAGAGTGAGTCTGAAAAAAATGCACTGTGTGGATCCTTTAATCAAGATGCACATGTACAAGGCATACATGCATGTACAAATACCACAGAATACTACATGCAGTTGGAACGGCAGGTTCAAAGGTTCTCATTGTTTTTTATTTAACAAATAAACAAAAACAAACAAACAAAAAAAAAAGCTTGCTCACATGTTTTAAGCGCATTGGTTAGAGCAATTCATAATTTCATTTGTTTCATAAAAAAAAGTTTAATGCAGAATGATTTTAATATCCCATGACAAATGGACCTAAAGCCTCATCTTCAAATCCGACTCAGATTTCATAGATTCACCGCAATTCTCTCAAACACACTTCTACCGGCACTGCACACAAACACAATGGATGACGTCGGCGTACACCTACGTATAACATTACTAATTCAGTCCTTAAAATAGACTCTCCAAAACTGCATTGTAATGCACTGTTAATGCATTCTGCAAGGACATGACAGGACAGGAGCAAATGGACTTCATAGTGGACTGCAGGGAAATACAGAACTTGATCATAGATAAATTGTACAAGCACCAGCATACGTATGCAGATCATATGTACATGTACATGGAGAGGAAATGTACACTTCCTGACAAGAGAAAAATATAATACCGAATTATGTATACTCAGGACCTGATTTTAGGAAGATGGCACCGGGGTTATTTACTGGAAGAAAATTTCAAATAACATGCAAATATATGCATAACCACCTCCATGACATCACTTACTGGAATGACAACCTGAGCAAGAAATCGTGGAGTTGTAATTTTGAAAACATTGTTTTTCTGCAAAACAATGCAAACGCCTGGTGACACTCGCTGTGGTGTGACCCAAAGGTTTTTTAAGGCTTGCACCAGAGCAACATCCTGACCGCTGACGTGTTGATGGCCGACACATCAGCATCCTTTCCGAGAACAACGCAATGCCACCAGAAGTACCAGCAAAAAAAAAAAAATAAACGCATAAAACAATGGCCTCATTAACAATTACGGGGGGAAAACAAAGACCTGAATGGAATGGGTCAATCTGTACACGCGATGTCATCAGCTACGAAAGAGATCCCATCACACATCCAGTAGAACAGATGATTGCTATTTTGGGCACAAAACTGTAGCGTTGTGTTGCTTTAGTTATCAAATTACTTGGTCCATGGAGAGATACATGTACTTAGAGGTAATGCACTTGGGAGCAAGATTGACAGCTGGAGTTTGAAGCCTAATGTACTCAGTATTCAGTAATGTATGTCGGCTTACTTAGTCTTTTGAGACTGTGCATACATGTAGGGATCTACATTAATTCAAAGAAATCTGAATAAAAAAGCTACTATGGAGCTTCATTTAAATATTCCGTGTAAATTCTAGTTTTGTCTGCAGCAGAGCAGCTTGTACATGTACATGCATGCACTAACTAGTACGTTAAAGTCCAACTTATGCACAATGCACGTACATGGACTGTAAACATGCACAACAAAAGGCCAGGCAGCGCGAGTATTCAACTCCATCAACCCAGTTTGCCTATGATAAGGATCAGAACTTTCACAGAGGAAGTCGTTGGAATGCCATCAAGGAACATCCTTGAGGTCAAACCACGGTACAACGAACTATGGAAACCATCCACTGATAGAGACCAGCGGCAAATTCTTTTGTGTCCAGGAATACAAATACTTCTGTGTACACCTGTACATTCGTCCTATAACACAAGTGCCTCGAGGCATCTCCACAATTCATTTTAGTTTCACTTTCAGGATATTCATGACAAAAATTAAAACAAATTAATCCTGTTCTGCATACATATTTCTCCAGGTATCTTAACCTTTTCAATTTCTCTTTCATAACCATTGGTGCACTGTGTAGTGTGGTGGAGTGAAATTAATGTGCACGTTTTTAAATTGTAGAAATGGGATAACTTGAGAGTCCCTAGATATTTACAATGGACTAGCATAATAAACGAATCCCAATTAGGCAAGTGAAATGGTACATTGAATATAAAACATATACACTGGTAGTATTAAAAAGTCCAGTTTTCGCCTCTGCAAAGACGCGATCTGACAGAGTGCATAAGCCTTAACCCTAACCACCTGGGGACCACTGAAATTATGCATAAACATCTGGGTTCAGAATGGTTAGGGCTTTTGAAGTCAGACCTCTGCCTGCCCAGTTTAGAATTTCAATTTTAAATCGCTAAGATTCACTCTGTCATACAAAGTGAATGATGAATAAAATTGTTCTCAAAAACAGAAAGCTGAACACCAAAAACTTCAGAACTACATTTAAAGCACATGTATGGTTTGCAAAGTAGTGCATATATATGGCTTCTTGCCTGATTGTGGAGCTAATTGACAAGAAGGACCTATTGAAAAATTTGATTGAATGAAAGTTAAGTTGAGACCAGGTCAATTCTGCACTTTAGCCTGAGGTCAAAGTTGAACTTTGGCAAATGGAGCAAGGGAGAAGAACCTCTGTCAATACATCTGCAACTTAGAGACGGTCAGGGCCCCCAGGCTTCGGCTCCCCAACCGCCATGAAAAATTCATGTCGTATTTTGCACAGCAAAAGAAATACAAATATCATGACCAACGAAGTAAAGAAACTGGCATGGAATGTCATTAAGACAAGCACATCTGGGGTTTCCTTGTCTCTCAATGTGAGTCAAGTCAGCCGACTCTAACGAGGGAGTTAAAGATTACTGCGGCTTCCAAATTGCTCAAGGGGGCACTTAGTGTGCCCAAGCCATTCATCAAACAACATTACTTTTGGCAAGCTCTTCTTGCTTTTGGGGGCATATTACAGGATTTTCTATTCAGGTTTTGGCAACATCATACTTCTTTTTACATCATGCCCTAAACCCCAACTAAAACTTTGCAGCATTGTGTTCATAATTTTAGCAAATCATTTGGAAACAGACACCGAGGCCAGGTTCAAGATAAAAAATGTTGGGGTACATAGTTCTACAAGAATTTCATTTCAGTTTATTTGGCAAATGGCTTTTCTGATCCTGTGAAGATTTCTAGAATATCATTTTTCCCGTAAAATGGTTGATTTTTTTTTTATTTTCACATAAATTTTCTGCAAAATAGCATACATTGCATACAATTTATTTCAGGAAAGGTTCATTCATCTCCCTAAATTATTGTAAACAATAAAAAATGAACAAAACTGGGAGAAGTGAGACAAACAACAAACAAACAAACAAACTGGGTGGCTAGATGGAAATTAGAGGCAGGTCTAAAAAAAAACTAAGTCCTGCATTACAACCACACTATTTACCTGCATGGGGTCTAGGTTTTGTGCACAGTTTTTCTGGTTCACCACCATGAACAAAATTATTCATAACTTTGCTCAATGACCCATAACGACAGTATAAATGAAATGACACAAGTACTCATTTGAATTCAAGGCAAACCATAAACGTACATGTACATAATACAGAATGAAGTCTAATATAGTGCTACACAGCCATTCTCTCCACACGCATGTCATCTGAATTTGAACAAAAAGATTTAACATGAAAACAAGACACGGGATGAGAAGTAAATCTTCGAGTATTAAAGCAAGGTCCTCTCACTGGTAAAAAATAACCAAGAAAAAATAAAAATCTGAGAAATGTAAACGTTCACAAACAGAAAACAAGGAATTAGTCACCCTGATGTACCAGAACATTGAAAGTTCACTGACACAGAATTAGAATCTTCATTTCAACCCCCCCCCCTTTTCTGTCATTTTCACTTGCCAAAGAAGCTACTTGAAAGCATACAAGTTCTTAACCGTAACACGTATTCCCTTTACTCCACCAATGTGAAACCGACCCAGTCAAGGTCACTTATGAATTCCCAATGGTTTCAAATCACCGCCCTGTGCCACCACACCTACAAATTACAAGAGCGTGGACACAATGAATAGCCACGGGTCTTGAACGCCAAACACTCGGCCAACAATGTCACACAACACTCGCTCACTGCCAACTGTACTTAATACTCCAAGCGAAACTACAAAAATATACTCACCAAACTTTTTGGACTCTGTTCTCCCCGGTGGAGGGGCATCACTCCTATCCGCATTTTCATTATCTCCTTCGTACTTGTCTTTACCCATGTTCACTTTTTACAGCAGGTATTTAAAAGAGACAAGTGATTTTTGTGGGCTAGAATTAACCGGCCCGTACCGTTCGCATCACCGAACGTCCGTCCGCCGTATGCATGCGCAGCCTGTGCTTCGTGTACAGTACAGGAGTCGTGCACACTGAATGCATGACGTCGGATGCTACGCACACGTACACAAAGGCAAAAGAAAAGCGCACCTACGATTTACATAACAATAGGGATATGGCATGAGTGTGTAAATACTCAAGACGGGTCTTCATTTATCCGTCCCCTCAAAAAGGATGATTTTAAACACTTCAAAGGTTAGTGGTATTTCAAAATACCACTGTATTGGTGTTTTTTCTTTCTTTTGGAAGTTTTATCGTACCAAATTACCATGGACATGATAGAGGAATTGCTCTAGTTTTTGCGGTTGAGGTGCACGACACATACTATCCCTGCTTTTAGAGATGATATGACAATAAATTCGACACGCGTGATGTCAGTAATAATGCGTAGCAATTACCTATCTGTTTGAATTCAGACAAGGGCGTAAATTTTGAAGCAGTTAGAAAACGACTTTCAAGTTCAAGATCACACGACACGTGGACTCAAGCAGTTTCTTGTCGCGCGCCTCACGTGTGGTGGTCCAGTTAAGTTGAATGAATTTAGCAGACCCCAAGAGGGCGCTCTTTATTTTTAGTGGTGAGGCAACTTTTATACAACCGTATTTTTTTAGCCATGCTGCTCTCGGATGAAAGCCCAAAGACACAGAAAATTGATTATGGCAAAGATTTACACAATCTCACCATTTTGGAAGCCATACAATCTCCTTTTTCAAAAGATACTGCGGAGAGCACTTTTAATGCTAGTGAGCTGACCAGAAATTGTCACGAATTAGTAGACTGCACCCTTTGGTGCCAGTCACTCTTCGCCACGCACTTCGCCCACAAACACGTTTCCCATTTGCCACTTTACCCATTTGCCACTTCTCCCACGCGCCACTTCGACCGGCGTCGTAATGGTGCACGCCCTCAACTCACAAGCCTATGGATTCGGCCTGTGATTGACCGACACATTTACTTGCCATTTTTTTGGGAAAAATATTTGAACTATCAAGACTCAGATACCATAAAAGCATTTTCAAAGGCCTGGTTTGTGTGACAATGCTCAAAAGTTTGCAACAGCCTACTTTGAGAACTCATAAAAATGAGATGATTGAAATGCTTGAAGTAGACTCTAATTCTGTGAACCTATCTAAAATGTTTCTGAAGTTTTTGATCATATTCACGTCCGTTTCAGGATGCAAAATGTCGGAATATACTTCATGTTGTCATTACGGGAGCCACTCCGGCTTACAGCTATTCAAGGCTGTTTTAACGCCCGATCAGCTTTCCACATAGTTGGAAATAATACATGACCCAGCTTTATGGTTTTACATTAAAGAAGATCTCCACCGACGGTCTGAAAATCCGCCATATTCTGGTATTCCTATTTGACCTTTCATCTTTCCCAGCATGCAGGGTGGATTGTGGAGAGGTTTGTTAGGCGTTTTTCAGTGGTTCCTCTCTTTTTGATTTGGATGATTTGAGGATGCAGACCACTAATTCAAGTGAGAATTTCTGGCCAGTTTATTAGCATTAAAAGTGCCCCCCCCCAAAGTCTCTTTTGAAAAAGGACATTGTTTTGGCCTGGGCCCAAAATGGTGAGATTGTGTAAATCGTTGCAAGGTTGAACTCCCTGGGTCTTTGAACTTTCATACGAGAGCCGCCAAGAATGGCTAAAAACTACGGAAAATCACTTTTTGGGGGGTGATTTTGTTTTGCTGGAATAATCAAAATTGTAATTGGTAAACCCACAAAAAAATGAAAAGAAATTGAAAGATTAGGGACTAGACAATAACTTCATTTGTGTTTCTGAAATCTCAGGGATGTTGGTATGCATACTGTTGGACCCTGAACAGTGCTGATAATTTATACTGGGGCTTGAATTAGTGGACTGTATCCGTCAAGCAGTGGAGCCGGGAAATGGCACGTGGGCGAAGTGGCAATTGGGAGAAGTAGCAAATAGGCAAGAGGCAAATGGGCAAAGTGGCAAATGGGCAAAGCGGAAAATGGGCGATGTGACAAATGGGCAAAGTGGTTGTGGGCTAAGTAATCTAAAAGTAGGTCTGGTTTCAACGGCGGATCAAAACCAAACTTTTTTAGAGAGCGGCAAACTTTTGGGGGAGGGGAGAGGTCCCAAAAGTTGGAGGTATTCCTGTAACTGTTTATGACCTTTTCAAGGGGGTTTGAGAAGGAAATAAAATAGACCAAAAATATTGTCTTTCTTTTATCAAAAATATGTAGATTTGTTTCCTTGGGGACTTGGGGGGGGGGGCAGAAGAAGCTTGCCCACATTGGCTCCACCCGATCCACCCGTTTGGTTGTTACGATGCACTTTTTTCCCTCTCAGGTTTTTGCGGATGTAAAATACACATTAAGACTCAGCTCGGTGTGGTGTCAGTCACTGTTTGGTAACAATTTATGTCACCTTGATATGAAAAAAGGGCCATGACTGTACTATTTCCAGAAGTAAACACTTTCAGAAAGTTTGATTAATTTATTCAAGTATTCAAAAAACCAAGAGTTCCACTGCTAAAGTGAATTCCCAGAAATATCATTCACATATAAACTATCTTTTTTGTACTTATTAGCAATCACATAAATCTAACTTCTGGGCTGCAAAGTTAAATCTTTGAATCACACTACTTATGACAATGGAGATGATATACGGCAGCCATTTGGGAGGGCTTAATTATAAGATATTTGTATAAATTGTAACTGCATGATGAAAAATATAGCCCCCC